TTTTCATATATTAAGAAATACTGACTGCAATAAACTACTATTGAAGTCTTTCATGCACAGGAAACTCACAATATATTCTTTAGAAGAATAATACCCTTTCTTCTTTTTAGTTTTTAAAGCTAGACATTGGTAAATACTATTACCTGAGACAAATGGCCTTTAAGTTAAATGACACGAGAAGAACACAGAAGAAAAGTTACAAAGGCCATGCACAACCATATAAGATCCCTGGCACTTATACAGCTAATCCTGTTCTTGGAAGGATTACATTCATGTAATAATTCTGTCCTGCTAAAAACTGGGCTGTCCCTAACCAGAGCTATTTAGCACACGCAGACTTCCACATAATGAAGGCTGTAACTTTATAGGGAGTTGGAGCAGTCTGCAGTACCGTGAGCAGTGCATTCCTGAAACTCTCTTATACCAGTGTAATGTCAACAGAAAAGGCTGAGTGGTGATGTAATGTCTGAGGGCATGCCAGAGTCAAGACACTTTTTGTTTGATTCACAGGGTACAAGTTATTTCTCCCCACCCCCGCCTTTTTTTAAAGCGGGCAATAAGCAGTTGATTTTACAGCTACAGGCATTATAGAGCCTCACATTATCTGCACAGTGAAGAAAGGAATGAGCTGATAGGATTCATCATTATGAACAGGCAACAATTCTTGACCAAGAAAAGCTTTTGGTCTATTTTAGTTTGAAGGGAGTTTTGTCTTTTGTGGGGTTTTGTGGGGCTTTTTTTGCTGCTGTCCATCACCATGGCCTCTGAGACTCCCACACTTAAAAATGCTTTTGGTTACCTGAAGCCCTTTAATACTTCCCATATCCTCAGATCCAAGAAGATAGTTTCCATACCAGTCCAGCAACTAAAAATCCTTAGTATTTAAACAGCATTTCCCAAATTCTAATGCTGACAAGAATGGAAATTCTCCCAGTACCCTGACAAAACTCGACATTCTCAGACATTTTATGATTTCTATGTAAACAAACACTTGTGCACAGTAGGGTAAAGCCAGCAGGAGCTGGCATAAATAAATGCCTTTAAAATTCTGGGCCTGGACACCTGTACCAGAAGGATGGATAGATTATGCTCTCCCATAAATCTCTACAGCCAACAGAGAGAGTGGGCAGCTGAGAGTCATGCTTGATCCATCTAGCCTATATTACGCTTCCTCTGTTCCACAGCTGTATGACTCAAGTGAGCTCCCAGATAACGCAAATGACACACAGTTTAAATGTGACTATCTACCAACATCAGAGCTCTCCTACAAAGAAAGGAAAAATTGGTGGCATGTGAATGAGGTTGTTACACTCATGACATGGACAAAAGACAGAGTTCTGAGAGGAGCAAGTGTAGGCAACTATAAATGGGTGCAAATAAAACACCAGCTAAACATAGCCTCTCAAGCTTTGATAGTTGTAGGAAACAAGGAAAGTTTGACTGTGGCATTTCTATGAAAAATGCTTGCATATAGTGTTTGCTGATTTTCAAAGCAGGTTCATGAGGACTGGGGCAATAATGCTTTTGGAAGAAAACAACAGTTTGCAAGGACACAAAAAGAAGCAAAGCTGTTCATCCTCCTGATGAGGAAATCCCTGTCACTTAGGTTGTGCTACAACCCACAAACCCAAAATACCTGCAACAACTCAAAACCATCTAAGCACTTCAGAATGTGTTCTTTTAAACTTAAAAAAAAATTAAAAATCATTGGGGTTAACAGGTGAATCTTTCTAAGTTTTGTTCCTTAAAGCATTAATGATATTTCATTCTTTGTTCAGAGGTTTCAATCTACTTGCACACAGGTGCTCCAATAAAATGAGCTGGTATGCAGATCACTGCACACCTGCTGGTAGCAGGCTCCCTGCTACAGTGACAAGTCAGGAGCTCTGGATCCAAGTCCTGTTGAGTACCTGACACAATCTGTGGGCACTAAAAGACAATACTGAGAAAAGATTAGTATACAGAGCCTAACCACCATCAACAAACCAATCAAGCTGTTCCCCAACTAGCAGTCTATATTCTATTTGTGCAAAGAAATTGTATTAATTTAACACACATACCTTGTCAAAGTAAGAGTAACACATCTGATCATTCTGGGAACTTAAGTATTTAATGTCTTAAAATATAAGGGTGATCTCTTATAGAGAACTCCTAGGTTGTGTACTTGCAGCTTGGAATCTGTTCCTTTTTGCCATATTAGAATCCAACAGCTCCATATAGAACATGGTGTTATTTACCTTCTCTGTAGATTTTCACCACTGTGTTACAGCAAACTTCCAAAGGTAAGTACTAAGATACTAACAGTTGTGGATTTTTAAACCCTGATGGTCATGATTTACAGGAAAACCTTCTGTGAGTAAACCATTTTCCATGTACAAACTTCATAGAAAGATTAGCAAAGGCTGTAGTTCTGTGAGGAGCTGAGTCTCACAGCACTGAATGGTGAGGTCTCCATCTCTCACCCACCCTCTGATCCATTCCTTAGATTGCATTCAAATGCTTGCCAGAGCCCTCGAAGTACCAATATAGGTCTAATTTAACCCAGAAAAAAAGAAGTAAATGCTTCTGCTAGGTTAGGAAGTTGAATCAGTGAAAGGCCTTGTCTCACCTCTGCTGGGTAAGAAAGGTCTCCCCCTTTCAGCAGTTCATCCTTTTTCCAATGCAACTGCATTCTAAGCACTGATCAGTTAAGGATATTCCTTTGTTTGTTGGGTTAAAACATAGAATCAAAATGCAACTTTATCAGATGAACTAACAGCGCAGAAAACACATAGTAGTTTTTGAACACAGGAGAGTCACATTTTTAAATTACTAGGCTCTGTATGAAGTATTAAAACCTAACTATTTAAGACAGCTTAAAAGAGGAAGAAAGACCCAGTCATCAGTTTAATAAAGATGAAAAGAAAAATTGAAGGCAGAGGAAATCAGAGGCGCAATGAGAGAAAATTACTGAAGAAGCCTTCCTACCACAAGTGCTGCTTATAATTTGAACACAACTTTCTTATCCTCAGACCCCTTCAAATGAGCCTTAGCCCCTACAAAGTTTTGATCCTACAAGGAAATATAACCAAGAAATTCTATGAAGCTCACTTTGCATGGATCTCGAATGAAAGTTGTTCTTTATTAAGGCAAAAGACGGCAATATTAAATGGGAGAGGGGGCTGGAACCAGATTAAATTGGAAACAGACTTATTTCTTTTTTTGGTGAATTCTGATTTGCGGGGGGAGTCTTATATACATTATTCCATACTCACAAACCTCACCAAAGAGCAAAAGCATACTAGTTGTATAGAAGGGCAAAACTCAAAACACACGGTAATTTTTTTTTTTCTTCATCTTGGGTATTTTACAGTAGGTTCCAACTCTAAGCTTCTTTTCTAGATACACCTGTAATTGGAAGTGGGTTCTCTGTAAAAGACAGTCCCTAAGGACTATCCATAGTGTTAACGATCTTAGCTAGCTGAATTTGAGCATTACTGGACAGTTTCAGACATATACAGTTGGACCACATGTTGGCATTTTCTGTGACTTCATTATCTTTTTTCTTCCCATTAGAAGATGCGTATGAGCAGGTTTCTAAATGTCAAATTTTACATCTCTCTAACATTACATATTAAACTTCATCCTCCCTATTAGCTTCTTACAGCATTTATAAGGGAATATAAATGTCTTTAGCTCTGATTTCCAAGTATTTAGTAGCATTATGTGCTGCTACTTGTCTGAACAGAAAGTCCATCAAGCCAAAACAATATAAAGTTTTTTAAAAATGGGGGCTTCTGAAGTACCGCATCAACCTGATACAGAACAGCCATATTCTTCCTATTAAAATAACACCATATCCATAAGCAAATGGCTTAGAAAGTATTTATCTAGCTTTTAGCTAGACCTTCAGTAACAGATGAGAAGCTAAACTATATGTCAGAGCGTACACAGGTCTATTCTGACTTCCAGAGGAGAAAGAG